CCTAAACCTTTGTTGTCGCTCTCAATTCTAATTTAGTACGTCCTTGAGAATCTCGAGTCAACAATGTATAAATAATCTAAACACCATTGTACTAATTTGAATAATGGGGGGGGGCAAAACTGTGAGCGGTGAAAAATGAGTGAAATAGACATGCTTGTTGAATTATAATAACATGTTGTGTTTAATAGTGAAAAAACCAAGGCAATATTTTCTTCATGTTAGTATGATTCGGGAGCAGTTGAAAAGGCATTAGATTTATCTATTTCATTTGAAAGGGTTCGCATTGCCAAGTAGACATTGCAGAAACTAGTACGAAAAGTCAAGCGAGAGTTGACGATACAAACAAAACATGAGGCATAAACAAAATACTAATCATCATCCCACACGAAGGATACACTGCACTGCCTAGTATCAATATAATGAGTGCATGCAAACAACCATGTCTCCCATGGTTTCTGCATAGTGAGAAGAAACCCTAGATGCGACGAATGGATTACGATGTCTCCGCCCATAGACGACAAACAAATCCATTACCAACACGATGGGTGCAATAATTTATCTATATGCTTTGGAAGGACTCATGTTGCCAAGTGGCACCCTCAAACATCGACAAAACGAGTAAGGAAAGCCAACCAAGAGCCGATGCTATAAAAAAATAGAAACAAAAAGAAATGCCAATCGCCATTCGATTGGGAAGCCAATCTGTTTGTGGCGGTAATTGATGCATGCAGCCAAACTTGTGCTCCTTGTTTCCGCCTAGTTAGAGAACCCTTTTTTTGTAGGAGTTGCAAGAGAACCTTTGTTTCCGTTAGAGTTACGATTTTTTGCATCGATTGACGATAAATAGACTCGTTACCAACATGAAAAATGTGATAATTTATCTAACTATTTTGGAACGGCTAGCGTTGCCAAGTGGGACCCTCGGATATCACGAAAACAAGTAGGCAAAGCCAACCGAGAGTCGACAATATTGACAAAAAACACCCGTCATCGTTGCACGCGGGAGATACGACACATTATCGAGACTAGCAATAACGGACACGTGAAACCAATGTGCAGTCGTTGTTTCCGCCTTGCCAGAGAAACCCTAGACGAGATGGGTTAGATGTTTCCATCCATATGCGACAAACATATCTATTAGCCAGTATAAATCCTAGACCGGTCAAAACCCTCGCTTTTTGAGCTCAGTTTCAGTACGTGTTTGACACAATGCAAGCCTACATGAAGGCTAACTGGTCTGCTCCAGAACGCTGATAGGCTAGAGTTGATACCAGCCACACAACCCTAAAACCTTCGGAACCCTCGCTTTCGAGCTCAGTTTCAAATACACGCAAGGTGCAACATAAGCGCATAAGAAGTTAGGGAACATAAGTAAGAACAACTAACGACAGTCACCATTCGACACGAAGGGAGGGATACGACGCAACTGCCGACCCCGATAGTAACCGACACGTGCAACCACTCGTGTCCACCCGCTTCTACCTAGCTAGAAGAAGAAAAAGAAACATCTGGAGAGACGAAGGTTCGCGATGTCCCCGTCCATCAAGAAATGTCAAACGAATCCGTTAACAACATGGCATGGAAGTAGCAGAATAAACCATTGCACACACTTGTGCCTAGCGCATCCGCGTGCGAAAGCAACGGTTTAACACTAGTATACTAGTAGTGCGTAAGTAAGTCAGACGTAGATACCAACATCATAGTACAAGGCCATCCAAAAATCCTCGCTTTCGAGCCGTTGGCTCCACCGTACGTGGTGGACGTTAATCTACACATACATGTACACACAAACCTACCCATGAAACAAATAGAGCACAAGGCATGCACATAATTTTTTTTTTGTTTTAAAAGCGCACACCAAAGCGTATATATGCTGTGTGGAAATGTATGTGCATAGCATATCTTTCGAGAGGATGCGTGTAGTATACACACATACATAAATTTTATGAGATGATATGTATGTGCAATACACACACGCGCGCGTGCGCACACACACATATTGATGGTGGAAGATTGTATGTACCATTTTATTTGATGGTTTTACTAACTGCCGAAAGTGGAGATGTTAATGGAAGCGTATATATGGAGTATATATGCATTTGTATAGACTGCATTGATGGTGGGAGATCGTGGCATTTGATATATATTGATTTTTTTGCGGAACATATATTGATTGATGATTGTGTGTGATATATTGATGATGTGTGTGTGATATAGTATATATTATGATTTGTGTGCGATATGTACACATATTGATGGTGGGAGATTGTGTGTAGCATTTGATTTGATGGTTTTACCACCTGCTGAGAGTGGAGTTGGGTAATAATGAAAGCGTATATATGCATTTGTATTTGTATAGGCTGACTGCATTGATTGTACATATTGCTTGTACTCCCTTCGTTTCAGTTTACAAGCCCTGCGTGTATACCTAGGTTGCCAATTTTATCACTCTAATATAAACTATATAACACAAAAATTATACCGTTTGAAAATAGAAAATCTGAAGTTTATATTGATATATTTTTTGTAATATATGATTTGTATCAGGTTGGTCAAATTGATAACCTAGGGGTACGCGCACGCCCTATAAACTGAGAGAGGACGAGTATTAATCGCCTCGGAGGAGCGTACAATACTTTGGGCGGGCGCGGGGGCTGTGGCGGTGGCCCGGTCGTTTACCCGGAAAGAATAAACCGCAGACAGGAAAGGAGGGTGACGTGCGGGCCATAGCCAGGGCCAGGTGGCCACCCCCACGTGTCATCCGATGCAGCCCGCTCCCACTGCGATAAGAAGGGGGGGGGGGCGTGTGGTCGTCCGTCGCAAGGGCAGCCAAGAAGATACATCGCATTACCGAGACTAGCGACAATGGACGCGTGAAGCGAATGCGCAACCGTTGTTTCTGCCTAGTCAGAAAAAACCTAGACGAGATGGGTTAGATGTTTCCATCCATATGCGACAAACACATCCATTATCCACTATGATTGTAGACGGGTGAAAAACCTCGCTTTTCAAGCCCAGTTTCAGTACGTGTATGACGCAACGCAAGCCTACATGAAGGCTAACTGGTCCGCCCCAGAACCCTAATAGGCTAGAGGTGATACCAACCACACAACCCTAGAACGTTTGAAACCCTCGCTTTCGAGCTTAGTTTCAAACACACGCAAGGTGCAACAAAAAGTGTATAAGAAGGCAGGGAACATAAGCAAGAACAGTGAACGACAATCATCATTGTACACGAGGGAAGGGAAACACTGCACCACCGACCCTGGTAGTAACCGACACATGCAACCACCCATGCCCACCCGCTTGTACCTAGCTAGAAGAGGAAAGAAAAGCTTCGGAGAGACGAAGGTTTTGCGATGTCCCCGTCGACGAAGAAACGACAAACAATCCTGGTAACAACATGGCATGGAAGTAATAGAATAAACCGACGCACACACTTGTGCCCATCTCATCCGCGGGCGAAAGCAACGGTTTAGCACCACCACTAGTGTAGTATACTAGCAGTGCGTAAGTAAGTCAGTCAGATGTATATACCAAAACCCTCGCTTTCGAGCCGTTGGCTCCACCGCACGCACAATACGCGGTGGGCGTTAACCTACACGCACGCACGCACGCACGCGTACACACAAATGTACCCATCAAAAGCGCGCATGCGAGGCATATATAGAATAAAATAGGAAGGCACGCGCGCATAAATTTCTTGTTTCGAAAGCGCGCGAAGCGTATATGTGTCGCGTGGAAATGTATGCGCTATGCGTATCTTTCGAGATATACAATTTTTGTGAGATGATGATGTGTGTGTGTGCAATGCATGCACACATTGATGGTGGAGGATCAATGTGTGTGTGTGTGTGTATGATTTGATTTGATTTGATTTGATGGTGGAGTATTTACCGCCTGCCGAAAGTGGAGTTGTTAATGGAGTGATGAAGTTTGTATATGTATATGCATTTGTGAGTAGTATTTGTAATTGAGTGCATTGATTGTACAGGATTGCTTGCTCGTATTAATCGCGTATACTTTGGGCGGGCGCGGGGGAGGGGGAGGGGGAGGGGGAGGAAAGAGAGAAACCGCAGGCAGGAAGAGGGTGACGTGTCATCCGGTGTAGGCCGCTCCCGCCGCGATAAGAAGGGGCCGCGGGGCGTGTGGCCGTCGCAAGGCCGGAACAGCCAGCCAGACCCCCTCCCTCCCTCCCCTCACCCCCTTCACTCCGCCCCGACCCGACCCACACCTTGGTAATACATGTGCAGCGGCGGCAGGGCCATGGCGAGGAGGTGCTGCTGCTGCTGCTGCTGCTGCTAGGTAGGTAGGTAGGTAGGTAGGGTTTCTTTCGGCCTGGAACAAGAAGACCGTACGACGCCGACGACGAGGAGAAGGAGGAGCGTCCAGGGGCGGATCTGCTAGCGTCTTCCCGGTGAGCGCCTCTCTCTGAACCGGATCTATCCATGCCGCTCTTGGATTTTCAAATTTCAGTGTTCCCTTCTTCTTCTCTCCATGCTCCTTCATGTCCCCCCTCCCACCCTCCCACCTTCTTCGATTTCTCCGCTCCGTGGATTTTTCCTGTCGGCCCTCCATTGTCCTCGGCTCCCCGCTCCGCCGATTTCTGGCGCGAGCGGGGGCGGATCTGAGGGTTCCCCTCCCGGATTTCCCAGGAATCCCACCTAACGCTTCCCCCGCACCAACAGCAGATCCGCTCACACTTGTATATAAAAAAATAAGTAAATTAAAATACCACTTTCCCCACCACCGCCACCATGTGCAAGATTTCCTCCTCCATGTATGCATGTTGACCAAGAAAATAATTTTATCCGCAGCGCAAGAATCCGCGCCTTATTTTATGCACGCGTGCGTGATTTCACCTGCGGATCAACTACTCTTCTACACGCAGCGCAATCTACCGCTGCCAACAACAGACAAATTTCCTGCGTCTTGATCAACTACTCTGTTTCTTCTTCTTCTTGCAGTTGCAGCAGGCCGAACGTCGCAAGGAGGCAGGCATGGAGCACTACACCATGAGGCTCAGCGCGGGCGGAGGGGCCACGCCCACCCAGCAGCAGCAGCAGCAGCAGCAGCAGCTCTGCCCCTGGGGAGAGCCCCTGATGGTGGCGGCGCCTGACCGAAGGTCGAGGTTCTGGCAGATGGACGTGGCCGTGGCGGCACAGCCGGCCCGCATCGAGGTCATATGCCCGCTGCCGCGACGCCCGGCCCGTCCTCCACACCCCGTCGAGCCCTTCGGCAGGGCCACCTCCAGGCCTAACAACGGGTGGGTGTGGTAACTCTCTCATCATCATCATCATCCAGTTGCTTGCATACATGTTGTTGTGTGTTTAGTTAATTTAACTTGAATTGCTGATTGATATGTGGTATTAGCGTAGTCAGCTACGAGGTTGCATATGATCTTGTTAGAATCATGATTGTGTAATAAGGCGTACACTCTATTATTAATCTTGTGCAGCAGCAAGTAGGCATAAGCATGCAAGGTAGCTAGGATTTTTTTTTGGAGGGAAAAGAAACATGATGTAGGGTGCTTATAACGGTCGAGAGATTATTACATGGGACATCACTAACTATACCTTACCAGAAGCTAGGAAGGCAGCGAAGCATGCACACGTTATCAGAACCTGCAGACAGCAAAGCGTGCACGTACGATGACAAAGTAGGCAACAAAGTTGGTTTAGGGTTTGCATCTTGCGAGCACACCATGCCTCAATTGAACCAACAAAAATTAGTGAAGTAGAACAGACTTGACATATAAGGCTATAACGGTCGATAGCTTCTTTCATGAGACAACACTAAATGCTTAACTAGAAGCATAAGCACGCAACGGCATAGTATGCAAACAGCATACGGTTGTATGTCCCGACAAAGTAGGCAGGGGACATAATTTAGAGTTATATACCATTTGCACGGCACATTTCATAACCGTCTGGGTACCGTTACAAAAGTTCAGTAGCGACAAATCAAGCGAGTCTGACCTATGTTGCTTTGATTTTTGCAGGACGCTACCGGTGTATAGAACAGACTCCGCCTCTGATATCCTTGATCTCATCCTCAGCAAGGTAACCTTGGTGCTTTAAATCGCCAGTTCCTGTTTATCATATACAGCACCACATCATTGATATCTGATACGAGATTGTTTGTATCTTGCCTTTCAGAATGACCCTGACGTTGATACCGATTCCAACGGCCAGGCGGGCTTTTTCTGTGGCTCGCCTCCCGTCCGCACTAACAACCCCATTGTGAATGATCCGCAGTTTGGTAGGAATACCCCCTGTTTTTCTCCTCTAGGGAGCCCATTCAGCAAGATGCTTGGTGGAAGAGCTGAAGTAGGCTCTCCGTCTTGCGGGGCGAGTAGTAGCCCGAAAGTGAGGATTGAAGGCTTTGCCTGCGGGAACAAAGAGAACCATTGTGCAGTCACCTTTGCCTGAGAGCATTTTCGCCATACCACCAATTCACCATTGACCATTAGCGCCATTTTGCACCCGCACCCCACCCCCCCCAACATGTAAATTTTCCGCCCCCGAGATACAGCTAGTCCCTTTAATCCTAAGCTAAGCTAGTAGTACCTATTCGAGTCAGAGTTTATCTAGTTGAGTTGAGTTGAGTCCTCATCGTCGCCCGCCTGGTTGTCGCTTTTGAAACTGCGCAATCGCAGAGAGCTTTCGGTTATGTACATAGGCGAGGTCTCCCGTCCGTTGTGTCCTGTATCTACATCTTGTGTAATGTGTGTGTGTCTTGTGTCTAGCAAGTGTCCCCAGTCCATGGGTGTGTTCAGAGTCTAGCAAGTGTCCCAGTCCATGGTGTGTTCAGAGTCTGTAAATACCGTCTGCCCTGCATTCAGATGCATAATTAAGAAACTATTATATTATTATATTATAAATCCTCTTTGTTCCTGTGGTATTATCATAGCATCTATCTGTGAATTTTGATGTTGACATTCAGCTGTCATCATATAGTTTTCTTTACACAGTTCTTAGGCAGCATCAGCCGCCCTGGTTCATTTTGTGTTTGCAGCCTGTGGTGGGGCTTTTGTGTGCACACTTCTTGGCTTGATGTAATTTTCACTGACCCTTATTTTTAGATGAACTTGGTCCAATCTGTATGCACAATACTGCTGTAACATGAATTGTACCTTGTCTGGCTTTGGTTAACCTCTTATTGTAGCAAATGAGGTGTTGTGGGCCAAAAGATGGACAATCTTGTGTTGCCCTTGAATTGTACTTTGTCTGGCCTTGTTAGTATCCTTTTGAAATCAAAGTGTTGTTGGCCAAGAGACTATCAATTCTTGTTGCCCTTTGGAGGGTGTTTGTTGCAAAGCTGATGCTGATGTGTAGTGAAATGAAACTTTATATATGTATATGGAGTGTTGTTTTGTTTGGTCCCAAGCAAGGGTGAGATGAGATGAAGAATTCTTGTTGTCTTTCCTTTGGATGTTGATGGGATGCTGCTCAATTCTAGTTGGTGTGGATGAATCTGATGCCGATGGTGATGGACAAAGATGAGACAGACGTTTGTTCTTGTTCTTGCTTTTTGTTTTGTCTCTGTTCAATATTTTCTTGTCCTAGGAATCACCATCAAATAAACAAAACTACCTCCAGGAAGGAATCATCAAGAGATACAATCCATATGAATAGCCTAACAAAACATAACCAATAATTGAATGATGAATTGCTATTCTTGTTACTCCTGTACAACAACTGGTTACATCTCATCTTGCAATAATAATACAGTATTAGCAAATTGGTGATGCTCCAATTGAGGGAGAAGAACATCTTGATGATGATGGTTACAATAACAATTGCCTCAGATTCGTGTTCTTGTTCTTGCTTCTTGTTTTTTCTAGGCTCGATTCTTATGGTAGGAATCAAAGGGGATAAAATACTCTAGATACAATCCATGTGAATAGCCTGATCTAACCACTCAGACAGAACAGAAACAAGAAACCCAGAGATGAATGATGAATTGCTATTCATAGATTGAGGCAAATGAAATGAAATGCATCATTTATTTACAAATAAAATGAAATGGACTGTCTTTTTACAACATGATGATGATGGTGATGGTTACAACAATCATTGCTGTCAAACTAAACCTGAGTTAAGGATAACTATGAACACAGCCTAGCCAATTTACAAGTGTGTACAATTTACAAATGAATGAAGGAATGCAAATGTGAATAAATTAATGGATCAGAACTACAATTAAGCTGTGCAATAATCAGTGGTGAGATGAGATGATTGGTTGTATCATCATCATCTCATCTGATGACGGCCCTCGAGTGCCTGAGGATCATGCTGAACGGCGGCGCCGGCGGCCGCACCCGGCGACCTCCGGTAGCCGTCGTTGTCGTCACAGTTGCCGCTGTCGCTCCCTTCTTCACCACCACCACCACCTTCCCCGTGCTGTCCCTCTTCCCCGTGCTCGTACTCACCTTCTGAACAGCCGCCGGAGAAGCAGCAGCAGGAGACGGAGGAGTAGGAGCGGTGGCCGCCTTCGCCGGCGTCGTCGTCTTGGCCGACGCGCGGGCAAACGCCTTCTCCAACGTGTTGTTGTTGTTGCTGCTGCTAGGCGTGGGCGTGCTCCTGCGGCTGGCGCCGGCGGGCACGTCGCCGCGGAGGCTGGACTCGAGCAGCAGCACGCCGGCGCAGTGCTTGAGCACCTCGAGGCTCACGCGGGCGCCGTCCAGGCATCGGAGCCCCCGCGCCCGCCGCGCGCCGATCCCGAAGTGCTCCGCCAGGGCCGCCGACGCCGCCTCATCGTCCTGACCGTCGTCCCCGGCGACGGCCCGCCCGAAGCTGCCCTGCGCGAGGAGCACGTCGAGCGAGTCGACGACGCCCACGGGCTCCGGCGCGGGCAGGCCGAAGGCGGCGAAGGCCTCGCGCACCCGCAGGCAGCCCGAGCGCCGGATGCCGTGGCCCGCCCACACGCGGCCGTCCAGCAGCTCGAAGATGTCCGGGAAGACGTCCTCGAACGAGGGGGCCGAGGAGGGGAGGTGGACACTGCCGTCGTTGGCGACGTCGTCGGGACGGATGAGGGTGGAGTAGCTGGAGACCTCGACGAGGCGGCGCGGGCAGACGAGGGTGGCAGCGAACTCCAGCAGGCGGCACTCGCCGGGCGGCGACGGGGACTGCGCCGCCTCCACGTCGAAGAACACCATCTCCCTCTTCTTGGTGGTCGCCATTGGTGGAGGTTTCTCGGCGGTGGAGCTCTGTTTGTTTGTTTGTTTCTTGCTTGAAGGAATGGATCAATGGAGGAGGGCAAGGATGGGAGAAGGGATGATCTTGTCTTGTCGGAGGAGCCTGGTGTACCGTGTATATATAAGCTTTGACGATCAAATGGCGGGAGCACGCATGCATGCTAAGCTAGAGAGACGAGCTGAGAGGGAAGAAGAAGAAGAAGAAGAAGAGGAAGAATATTTCTTGGAGAGGAGAGGGGTTGCTTGGGGTGGACGTAGGGTGCATGAGTTTTGTGCTTGGGGACTTCCAACAGTGGAAGCAAAGCTAGCGGCTTGCTCAAAATTCAAAAAGGAAGGTAGGGCATGCAAGTTAGTTAGTTACTTACCTCAACATCTCAACCAGCTCTCTCATGTTGATTTTCAAAAAGGATTCCAAGTTTCACAAGCATGCAACAACATTATCCACCTTGCTAAGTTACTACCAATGCAAGAGCCCATTTCATTTTCTCTTTTCTTCTTCCCATCACATGGACCAATTCTTCTTTTGTGTTTGTCCGTCCGTCCGTATGTACTGTACGTAAACAGACATCGACCGGAATTTTGACGAAATTCCAGTAGATTCCTCGGTGGGCGCCGGAATATATTTACCCTTGAATTATTCGGCCAAATTGAAGCAAGACTTAAATTTAGAGAATTTTGAAAATCCAAATAAATAAATATATCTGAAATTGGTCGATAAGGCCCGCAATTTGCATGTTGCAGACATTGTAAACCTTGGTGTGTGCTACACGTATGCTCGAGAGGTAACAAAGAAATGTGTTATGGAAATGCTTTTCATGGTCCCACGATCAAGCAGCCTTGTTGCTGGCCTTGAGTTTTTCCTGCAGGCAATATGCAGTGGTGTGAAGCTAGGTGCTACCTAGCCTTAGGTGTGTTGTGTCCCCCTTTGCGTCCGTGTGGGGGTCACCATTCTACGCACGCGCACACCTACTAGTTAGCAATTATTTATTCTAATCTAGTATGGCAAAGAAAATTCAAATACAATTAGAAGAATATTCCACATACGTACTGCTCCCTTTGTTACACTTTACACGGATAGATGTTTCTTCTTCTTCTTGGACGCTTGCAATCTTCTGTTTCAAATTCCCCTCTAGCTTGTTAATCACATGTGCGCAAATAGTAACCTTTCAGATCAATCTGACGTCGGTTTCGCCTTCATATCTAGAGTTCAATCATATTTGCAAAGGATTCAGTGGAACCAGTCATATCTAGAGTTCAATCATAGTTGCTTCGACTACTCTCTCCTATGATGGTGTAACCGGATGAAGTACTAATTGCAGGAAATCCCGTTTCTTTGGTATAATAAGCACGTAACCAGGTAGCCCCTACTTTGCCAGGGTTTATTCTCTTTAATTATTTCGACGCTCACTTGCCAACATTTTTTTAATCAGAGCCAAACCAGCATATCCTCTTTTATTGACATGTGCCCACATTTTTTTAATTATAGTCAAGTAACATAATCTCTTTTATCGTCAAATAGCACGTCGGATGCACGACAGTTCGAGTCTGGCCAGGCCGCTGGCAGGTACCAAAATGACTTGTATTTGTAAGGCGTGAATAAAAATTCAAAACAACTACTGAGTTGAAGGATCAAACTCATGACCTCAAAAACTCGACCACGTGCTGCTAGCCACTCGAACAAACAGCTCATGCTAACAAATGGCCAGGGCGAAAGTTTAAGAATATACTGTAGCGTAACATACAATTTTTTTTCTGTTTTTCTTGATTTTTTTCAAAAAATAAAGTAATAATTACGATATTTCGAATATTCTTTAAGATGTGACAATTTTTCGAAATTTATGTTTTTTGAAAACATGAACCTATTATAAGAAAGCAAACATGTTTTGAATACGTGATTTTTAAAAAAAAAATGAAAACATGTTTTGGACATCGAAAAGAATTTTGAAAAACATGTTTTTAAACACAAACATTACTTTGAATTTTTGCACATTTCAATAAAATCTACATATTTAATTTTTTAATGCAATATATTTTGAAAATATCAAACAATTTTGGAAAGCATAAAAAAATTAATATGCAAACTTTATTCTATAGTTTTGAATAAATTTTGGAAGAAGAGGAAGAAAAAATTATAGTTTAAAAACAATTCAAAATGGGCAAAAAATAATTATGAAGATTTTACGAAAATTTAATCCAAAATTAAAATTCTGAAATATTGAAAAATTTAATTTA